GTATAAGAGAATAAGGAAAGTTTTGTTTGTTTGTTTACTAGAGGTATATCTAAGCTAAGATCTGTAAATTGTTAATAATTGTCCAAGAGAAGAGGAAAGCATGTGAATACAGTAGCCTAGAACCTTTCACAATACCTCCTGTTTTGGTCTAAGAAAACTACAGTTCTAACAGCAGTGTCACTGAGGGCTGTAGAATGAATAGTCACGGTGGATTCAAATAATTGATCCTCTAGCTAGATTGGTCCCACTTTGCTCACATTGATGTTTCCCTCAGTTCCTGTCAGAACTCTGAGACTTCAGAATCAGAATCAATCCTCCCTCTTCCACCAGGCCCTTTAGACACATAGATTTATGGTCAACAAGTTACCTTTGGCGTTGGTACAATGAGTGCAAGAGTGTATTTGCTCCCGACAATCTGCTTTTGAACCCTGGTTATCAGTTACTGAGCAACCTTAAAGTATAAATGGAAAGATAGGACACAAGAAAGCAATCAATAACAGAGATCTGAGCATGACATGGCATGAATTTCACATTGGTGTTAACTATATACAGAGAAAAGATTTCCAAATACCTTTGGCAAACAGCAATTTTTCCATATGTCTGCTGTAACAAAGTAGCAAAAACTAGATGGCTTAGAGTCACAGAATTGTAGGGCTCTCAGCACTGGAGGCTAGAAGTTAGAAATCAAGTTGTTGATAAAGTTGTGCTCACTAATGGCTTTATGTCAGAATCCCTTCTCTCTCTCTCTCTCTCTCTCTCTCTCTCTCTCTCTCTCTCTCTCTCTCTTTTTTTGGTCGGTCATGGGGCTTGAACTCTGGGCCTGGGTGCTATTCTCAGCTCTTCAGCTCAAGGCTAGAGCTCTACCATTTGAGCCACAGTGCCACTTCTGGTTTTCTAGTGGTTTATTGGAAATAAGAGTCTCACGGACTTTCTTGCCGAGGCTGGCTTTGAACCTCCATCCTCAGACCTCAGTCTCCTGAGTAGCTAGGATCACAGGTGTGAGCCACAGATGCCCGGCCAGAATCCTTTCTTAAAGCCTCTTCTGGCTTCTGGGGATTGCTAGCAATTCTTGGCATCCCTTGGCTTACAGATCTATGGATTTCCATGTTCTCTTTTCATTTTTGAGTTTGTGTCCAATTTCTTCATTTTATAAGGACCCTAGTCATATTGGATCAGGGCACACCCTAATGGCCTCATTTCAACTCTATTGCCTCTGTAAAAACCTTTTTTCCAAATAAGGGGCCATACTAAGATATGGAAACTGGACTTCAATTTCAATTGGACACAATTTAATCCCTTTTCTCTTAGCTGACAACATTTGTTCTTAATACTTCAAGTTATTGACACCATCAGTCATTGACTTCTGGTGTTCCAACTGAAAATTTTATTCACATTTTAGGGGATAAACTGGCATTTTTCTCCTGTAATTGGAAAAAAAATCTATCCTTAATGCATGTAGGATCTGATGAGAGGGGGAATGAGACAGAGTGATAAAGGGAATGAATCTGCTCAAAGAATATTGTAAACATACCTGGAGAAATAAAATGGACAGGATAAGAAATGAACTTAAATCTTATGAGGAGAAAAATGGTTACATGTGTTAAAGAAAAATCCTAACAGAAAATACCTTCTATATGTCTTATTAGTTTTCATTTTGTATGACACAACTGCTGGAAACTTACAAGGTTTTTCTTCTCCAGGGTTCCAGTGAAATCCCTACTAAGTTTTGATCCTACTTTCAGGTAATTTGTGGACACAAGTTAGGAAGATGGTGATTTCCAGCAAAAGCAGCTTTTAAGTGTTATGGTCCCACTCGGCATGGCTAGAAATGATGCTAGGTGAGGAAAAGCTCTTCCATTGGAAGAAGTCTCTTGTTGGTTTTTAATTGTCTGACAGCAGCAGATGCAGCAGATATCCCCTAATGTTACAGCTCTTGTATGGCTGGGCCTTGTGGACTGGGATTCTTACCCCTACAGAAACAAGAGCAAAGCCCTATAGAACTCTTTCAGTGACCAGAGACTGCAATTTTTTTTTGACTCCTTGTAGCCTTCTGACTTCCTTCAGCCTTAGCTTTCGATGATGTTGAATTTTCTCTCTTTTGTCTTCCGTGTTGTCTCAGTCACTTTTGTTGTCTGTTGCTTTCACTCCTGTAGCTGACAGCCATTGTTGCTACTACTGCCACCAGGGTGACAGCTGCCAGTGCTTCCAGTGCTCCTTCGGCTGCTCCTTCTGCTCCACAGTTATTGCCGCCGCCTCTGCTACCCCTGACATACCTTCCCTTTTTGTTTGTGTTACCAACTCAGCCCACTCTACTAACGATAAAGATGGAAAGTGGAGAAGAAAAGATGCTTCTAGGAAAGCCTTTTATGAGACTCATTGTGGAAGGGAGCCAGCCAGCAAGGGTGTCTTCTGAGTCTCCAGGCCCAGACTCCTGTGACTCCCCAGTAGGCCTGGCCACTAACCTCTACCTGCGACAAAGAGACAGAGAAAAGCTGAAGAGCATCCACGGAGAATACAACACTCAGCTCATCTTTAGCTGTCTTTGGGGTACATTCATAACCCTTTGATCTAAATAGACAAAGAACTAAGGGAAGAGAGAAAGAGTTTAAGCAGTTTTAGCCAAAGTATGGCCTACTAATCTTTATAGAGGGATCCTAAGAAATTACTGCTGTCATCATTTGAGAGGAGTAATTTTGACCAACCTGATGATTGGTTTATCCAGATACAACTTTCTGTTGTTCCTTAGGGTTAGCTTCTGGTCCTTGTCATGAAGATATTTATTTGTATGTATGTGTGTGCACACACGTGCATGTGTGTACCTGTGCACTAGTTCTTGGGCTTAAACTCAGGGCCTGGGTGCTACTCCTGAGCTCTTTTGCTCAAGGCTAGCATTCTACTAATTGAGCCATGTATCCATCTCTTCCTTTCTTACAGAGATAAGAGTCTCATTGGCTTCCCTGCCCAAGCTTGCTTTGCACTGTAATACTCAGTTCTGAGCCTCCTGGGTAACTGGGATTAGAGGCCTGAGCCACAGGCACCCAGTATTAAGATTATTTTTGATCAGTCCTGTCCTTCCAGAATTCAACTGTGACTGCGAAGTGAATGGCTTAGAGCAAAGACATAAAAATAGAAGCAAGAATGCCAAACTTTTCTCCCATTTTCTGGGATCAGAGTCAGTGCTCAAGCAGTCAGCTCAAGGGTTTAAAAGAGGTAGTGCTTTTCAGCAAAAGCCACTCAGGTATCTTAAACTCTCAGGGAGCTGAACAGCTGGCTTATTTAGCCAGAAAGGGGTTGGGACAAGGCTGGCTGCGCCAATCATGGGAAGCTCTTCATGAAAGTCAAAGCTTGCACAGTTCTTCGCTCACATCACCAGTCATGGCAGTCCTTCATGCAAATGAAAGAATTGTGTTTCTACCAATTCTGTTGGGCCATCAGGTGGAAATGTCTGTAGCATCATCCAGAATTTGAAGAGGCTTGCGATAGCAAGAAGTTCAATGCTAGCTGTTTGCTTGGATGGTACCTTTTAGGAGTGAGTTGCACTTCAGTGTCTGTGGTATGTCCAAAGCACCTGATGTTCACATGAGTTCAGTCTGGTTGGCTGCTTGGCTGACAGTCTGTGAAGAGTCGAATAGCTCTCAAGTATGAAGTCAAATCACTCCAGCACCTAGCACCTTAGCTTAATTAAATGAAAAACATTAAATGAGCACTTAAAGGTTTATCATAGACATTAGCAGTGATTTGAGTATTAGCAGTGCTCAAACAATGCCAAACTCCTGCCCCAGTGTATCAGGGAGAAGTGAGCCCTTCTCTTCTGTGTGGTAACTACAATAATTGCAATAGATATTGTGTCCACCTATTTTGGATCTGGTCATGGGGCCTGAACTCTGGGCCTGGGTGCTGTCCCTCAGCTCTTCAGCTCAAGGCTAGCTCTACCACTTGAGCCACAGCGCCACTTCCAGTTTTTTTCTTCTTTGCTTATGTGGTGCTGAGGAATCGAACCCAGGGCCTCATGCATGCAAGGCAAGTGATCTACCACTGAGCCACCTTCCCAGCCCCTGTGTCCATCTATTTTGATGTTAACGTTCCATTTTGTAGGAATCCATTATTTTCACTATCTTTAAAAAATAGGCAAACTATTTTGTTTCCCTGTATTTTAACATATTTATAAAGCACTTCAAATCTCAAATTCCTTGTGTAACTAGAGAATTGTGATAATGCTGAAAAAAGCAGACAAATCTAGAATGTGGTGTAGCCTGTTCAAGACAACTAAATCTTTTCAAAAATCCACTATTTACCAAAATTAAAGTATGAAAGGAATTTTTACAGCTTAAGCAATGAATAAAATTTTAAAAAAATCCCATAGGAATGCTGAATCCCTGCGTTGATTGATCTTGGCTAAGAGATCTTTGCTGTTATTCTGAAAAGAACTGAAAACCTCTGACTGTGGTCTAGGGACGAAATGATCGTGAAATTTTTCAGAGTCTGAGAATAGTGTTATGATTATGAAGGAGGTGATTTTTATGTATTTTAACATATGGAGAGGTTTGGTGTCTTAGCTGCAATTTAGGGTTGCTTTAGCAAAAAGAAAAGCGTTTATAAACATTTACATTGAGGATAAATCAGATATGGCCAAGGTTGAACTGCTGAGTCTGCTTTCGGGTATTAGTAAATTAGAAGGGATCCGTCCGGGCTTTATTGTTTTTGCCTGGGTTAGGATGACATCACCAGAAAGCTAGAATTACTACGGCTCCAAGGCACCACCAAGTCTCGCGATCCTACAGCTCGCCCGGCGGAGCGCGAAAGGCGGTGGGAGGGGTGGGGAGGACTAACTTCCGGCCAGGCCCGTTGTCTGGGTGGCGCGGTCGAGTCATCTCCGGGTCTCGCCGCCCCGTCCTCCCGTCCCTACCTCCGCCCCCCGCCCCGGCGCGGGGGGTCGACCGGGCGCGCGCGAGGCGGGAGGCGCCCGCGACCTGCCCCGCCGTTCCGTCTGGGCCAGCGCCCTGGATCCGCGCGCTGGGGCCTGGGGTCCTCGGGGCCCGCGAGGCCCAGTCTGAGGGGCCGGGCCTGCGTGGGCCCACCTCGGGGCCCCCATGAGGCACAGCCTGACCAAGCTGCTGGCCGCCTCGGGCCGCGACTCCCCGGCCCGCAGCGAGAGCCCGGCGCCGGCGGCGACCTGCTCGCTGCCCCGGGCGGCGGCTCGGGAGACGACGACGACGACGGAGGCGGCGGCTTCGGCGCAGGGTCGCCTGCAGCCGCCGGGCGACGGGGGCGAGGTGAGGACCGGGCGGGGGAGCCGCGGCGGCGCGGCGGCGCGCGCGTCCTCGCCGGAGGAGATGGAAGAAGAAGCGGCCGCCAGTGTCCGCGAGGAAGACCCGGAGGACATGGACTTTCTCTCCGGGCTGGAACTGGCGGACCTGCTGGACCCCCGACAACCGGACTGGCACCTGGAGGCCGGACCCGGCTCCCCGGGGCCGCTGTCTTCGTCCGGCGGAGGCTCGGATCCCGGCGGCCCGTGGCGCGGGGACGACGACGACGACGCCGCCGCGGCGGCCGAGATGCAGCGCTTCTCGGACCTGCTGCAGAGGCTGCTGAACGGCATCGGCGGCGGCGGCAGCGGCGGCAGTGACAGTGGCGGCGGGGAGAGAAGGCGGAGGAAGGTCCCCGGAGGCGGCGGCGGCGGCAGCGGCGGCGGCGGCGGCGGCGGCAGCAACGGGAACGACAGCAGCCAGGCGGCGACAAAGAGTCCCCGCAAGGCGGCGGCGGCCGCTGCCCGCCTCAACCGGCTGAAGAAGAAGGAGTACGTGATGGGGCTGGAGAGTCGAGTCCGCGGTCTGGCAGCCGAGAACCAGGAGCTGCGGGCCGAGAACCGGGAGCTGGGCAGACGCGTGCAGGCACTGCAGGAGGAGAGTCGCTACCTACGGGCCGTGCTGGCCAACGAGACCGGCCTGGCTCGCCTGCTGAGCCGGCTGAGCGGCGTGGGACTGCGGCTGACCACCTCGCTCTTCAGGGACTCGCCCGCCGGGGATCACGACTACGCCCTGCCCGTGGGGAAGCAGCCGCCGGAGCTGCCGGAGGAGGACGACGCGGCGGGAGGAGTGTGTCTGCATGTGGACAAGGATAAGGTGTCGGTGGAGTTCTGCTCGGCGTGCGCCCGGAAGGCGTCGTCTTCTCTTAAAATGTAGGGTCAAGTAATCTGCTCTTTATCCGCGTTTACCCCTTTCAACTCCCTTACACCATGTAAAACACCTTTAGTGTGGGACATCTTCACTGGACACATGTCAGAGGAGGAAAACAAAAAAGTAATATTGAGTCTTTTAAGTGTTTTAGCTAAAAAAGCATGAATGTGACACTGTAACCCACTCCTAATGATAACCTGTGACTATTAAATCTCTCTGACAGTTTCTTTTTTAGGTGATTTCCTTCCTGCCAGGCTCCGTTGTAGGGGTTGCAGAACAGTCGTTCCCGCCTCACAACCTGGTAAGGATCCATCTCTTCACGTAACGCTCATGCTCTGCTGCTTTAGTCTACTTTAATGGGCAACATCTCAATTTGTGTGCGTGTGATTTTTTTTTTTTTTATTTTTTTTTTTCTTTTGGAAGGTGGGAGGGGAAATCTTACTTTGGGCCCTGTCCACCCTGGAAACAGACTTGTGCTGGTCAATAATGTATTTAAGATGCTTTTTCTAGTCGAAATAGCTGTTAAATGTGTCACCTTGTTCAGACTTGCGTGTACCTAGCTCTTCTGTCCCCAGTGTGGACATGGCCTTGGAAGACATCGGTTCCAACTGTACACTGAAACCTGCTTATAGAGATACAGTTTGGAGACAGTGAAACAGGTGAAGTTGAATGGAAGTTCCGAGTTGTACAAGGTGCAAATTGGAATTCCAATCTTAGATCAACTTTTAAGAGGTTGACTAGTATTTGAGGCATGCACAAATGTGATATTTTGCTGGAAATGACAGAAATCTTTTAAACATTTAAGAATGTTTAGTTTTCAATAGGAAATACAGGAATTCAATATAGAGTGACAGATTTTAATATTGCACCATTAGAGACATTAGAAATTAATTTACATAACAGAATTCTGTGTTTTAGAGGAAGAACAAGAATGGTTAATGAAATGTTTTTTTTTTTTAATAAAAATTTTTTAAGGACCAGCACAGTGATTAACCTGTCACTGAGTACGAATAAATGGTTGTACTCCTTTGCTTTTTGTTGTATTAAAATTTTAGGTTAAATTTATGTATGTATGATTATATATTGAAGATTGCGAAATGTGAATGAATATGTGTAAAGTGAGGCTTCACAAAGAATCGTATTGCATATTTTTAAAGTTTTGCCTTAAAAAAATTTTCAAAATGAGTAGTCCTGGTCACTCAATGTGATTGACACTATTTTTCCAAAGATGGGACATATTCTTCTTTCCAAATACTCAGTGTCCATTTGTATGAATTGAGTTACAATGTCCTTCATTGTAAGAGGCATTAAAAAATTCTTTGTGAAACATCACTGTTTGATAAAGTATATACGTATTTAGCATCCTTGTTTTTCTTTGTGCTAAAGTGGATACAGCTGTTGGGGCAGAAGAGACGGGACCAGCTGCTGGCCACATTTCCTGCTTTATTTTAAAAGGTAGTATAAGAAATGAGGAAAAAGAGGTAATATCAGGGCTTCTGCTGTTTTTTTATTTTTAAAATGTTCATAATTATTTTCCAGCAGTCCAAAGATGTAAGTTATCTTACAAGTTAAGATGTTTTATTATGTTGTTTGATTATGGAAATGAAATTCTTGTTCTTGCACAACTGTAAATGTTTTGTTGCTAGATAGTATGATTTGAGACCTAAATTGGCCTCTGGTTTCCCGTGCATCACGGCATATTTTGTAAAATCATCTACTGCACTTGAGCATGAATGGGTAATAGCCAAACTCAACCTGGAGTGACGGACCTGCTTATACTAAGGGCAGGAGCAAGCCCCTCACAATGCAGCTGCATGGATTTTTAGTGCCTACTGAATTATACATATATATATGTATATATATATACACACACATATAAATGTGTGTGTATATATATACATATATATACACACACATATACATATATATAAACCCAAAGTAGTTGGAAAAAATATTTGAAATGACTAATTTGTGCTCTTTATGAAATGTTAAATGTAGCTTTTTGAAACAGAAGCCTTGAATTGAAATATAACTAATACTTGAACATTTTTGTATATATTTCTTTGTATATAATTTTGTGCAGTACCAATGACAAAAAATATGGTATAATAAAACCAGGTTTGTTGATCTTTCAGTTATGGGCTCAAAGAATTTATTCATCTCTAACATGACATTGGAAAACAATGGGCGAAAATAGGAAAAATGATGATTGTTAATGCTGACTATGGGTCTTAAAAAGTTCTGGATTCAGTAAGTTTGTTTTTCTAAAAATTACACCACGGAATATTTTCTTCCTAACATCAGTGCTTTTCATGCATTGTTTGAGCTGGGGAGAGAGAAGCAGTAGTAATCGACGCTTTCTGAATTGGGATATTTTTAGATTCCAAGTATAGATTTTCTAGAATGCCATTTTATAAATGGCAGTTTGGAGAATTACATGATTAACAACTTTTGAAAATGGAAAGATTAGTTTGTCCTGTGTTTAAAGCTGCTTTGTTAGATTTCTCATGTTTTATTAATTGTCTTTTCTTAGTTTCCATTTCATATTTCTTTTCTAGTTTTGGTGATTTAGTGATTTTGTCATTTTTTACATCAATTCATGGTCTTGTTTTACATGGTAATTGCATGTACTTAGGTCTATCTAATTAGGGACTTTAAATGAATTTGGTCATATTTATGTGTAAGCACATTTTATTGTAAATGTTTGGGTTTCTGAATTTACAACAGATGTTTATTTCAATATGTAGTAAACAGTATCTTAAAGTGTCCTATTCACAACTGTTAATTAAAAAAGTTATGATTAATATAAAACTGTTGTCTTACTATTTTTAGAAAATTGTATTATGGATGGTTAGTATTTGCTTAAAGATTTCTGGAATATAAAGAGATTGTTTACAAATTTTCAGGCTTGGTTCTATATATAGTAATGATTGCAAACATTTTAGAATTTAGAGAGCCGTTTTGCTATTTATTTTTCCCCTCATGCCTCTATGGTAAAATGATACAGAACTAGACTAAAAATACAGATTTTAATACTTTCTTTCCTATAGTGTCAGGAATTCAAACATTAACACATCATGATCTATTTCTATCATATTGACTTGTTTCTGCACTTCCTTGACCAGACTTAACTAAAAAGTACACATTTGTTAAAATGTAGTCACACTTCTGATCAACAAAGTGTTCAAAATATTTAAATATTTGTGCATTTTATAATCACTAAATTAATCTCTCTTTCTTCTCTTTAAACAGCTTAGCAGTATCTGCAAAAAACGAATCTTTTCCTACAACCCGTTAACTGACTGGACTGATGGTAACAAAGTAATTGTGGGAGCCATGTCGGTCAAAAATTTGGCATCTGCTGAAAAACAAAAAAAGAATGCCATTTTCAAGTTCCCAAATTACTTCTATTCTGATTTCACTTTCCAGAAATGGAGATATGAAAAGATTCTCTGGAATGCTTGAAAGACTTACTAGAAATACATAAGACAACAATTATACTTTCTTTTTTTTTTTTGTCTTTCATGGGAGTGATACTCAGTTCTTTGCATACTTTTCAAAAATTGTAACTCTTGGAGAAGAGAATTATAGTATTTCATCAAGAAATATTAGATTCTTTCCATAATCAAGACCACATCCTATGGAATTACATTTAGCAGACTAGAATTACATAAACAGGTTACCTATCAGTAATTACAAAGCAAATTGAGTTTGTATTTATTTCCTGGAATGTAAGAGCTAATTTAGAGGACAGAAACCCTTGCTGAGTACAATATAAAAGTTAATGTAAAGTCCTTAACTTATAAAGAGTAGTCTTCTGAAATAGATTGTTTTTATGTCTTTGAAAAAAAGTTGATTATGATAAAATGTGTGGTTAGTTGATTGCAATTTAGGGATAACTCTAGGATGTGTGAAATTTGAGGATTTGGCTTCTTGAGCTTTCTTTGAGTACTTTTATACTGTATTTTGAATATTCTGAGGTTTCTCTTGTTTCCTATTAAAATTTCTTTAGTGTTCTGTAAGGGATTTAGTGGGAGTGACTTATTTTATATGGTGGTTTTAATTAATTGAAATATTTTTCTTGTTTATTACAAGTATGAAAAACATTCAAAACTGGATTGTTTTCATTTTTGATGGAGTATGCTAATTCCCTCACCTGATTTAGATTGAGTCATTTTATCTTCACTCGGGAAGTATGCAGATGATAGAAGAGAGAAGTGGGTAGGAGATTGGCTCATATTTCACAGTAACTATAGAGTTGGCTTTTGTTTGGCAATCAAAACTTACTACGTCCACTCTTGTTTTTTCCTGATCTAAGTGCATTCAGTCCCTGCAAAGTCAGGCAGTCAGTAAACATTCCCATTGGTTTGTACTGCAGTGGCTGATGTTCCTACAGATTCCAGAGTTTAAAGTTGAGGCACTAACATTTTGGTGACCAGAAGTACTTCTCTCTTTGGTATTACAGTATTATAATGAATAATTGTCTTTTTTAAAAAAAAACTATTTGAGTAGTTGCACAAAGAAGTTTCAGTTCAATATCATTATCTTTTTAATGTGTGGCTGGTTCAGCTTTTTAAAGGTATAAATTAAGATCAACTAAATATTCCTCAAAGTTAATACTTACAAATGGTCCCCCCACAAACAAAATTTATGATTTTACTATTCCTTTGAACTGGTATTTTTTTGTTTTTAGTTGGCAGATTTTTTTTAAAGGTCTCCCATTAGATTCGGAATTTCAGAATGTTTTTTTGGCTACCCCACAATATTTTCATATATTTGACTTTGAATATCTTTACATGAGACTCAGTACTTTGATCTGGCCAGTCTAATTTTGACCTAAAATTGCTTAGTGAATTTTTTTACAAGAACTAGTTTAAACCTTTAGTCACTAGTTGTATTAGAACACTGGATATTTCTGTTAACAATTTTAACTTATTCGGAGCTCAACTTTCCTCAGAATGGAATTCCGAATTCTCTATCCTTCCTATATTATGGTACTGGGGTTAAATACTTAGCAACCCTTCTGGCTCTACAGTTTAGAGTTTACAAAATATATCAGTATAATTAGGCATTCTATCTTAAAGCCACGTAAATAGACAAAATGGATTATAAAAATCTAAATTGTCTACTGTTACCTAGACTGACTTAAAAATCCATTTTCCTGACTGACACAGTGTTCTATAGGTCCTGACAACAAATGACTAAGTTGTAATATAGGTTCATGTCATTTATCTATCTTCTGAATAGAATATGGTAGATTTGTGTGGAACAGAGTAAACCATTTCTATTAATTGAAAAGACAAAAATTAGCCAAGTGTGGGAGTGCATGCCTCTAATTCCAGGTACTTGGGAGATAGTCATGACTAAGTTTAAGGTCAGGCAGGCAGAAGTAGCAAGCCCTGTCTCAAAACTTAGAAAAGTAAAAAAAGAAACAGAAGGGCTAGCCCTAACTAGCAAGTGCTAGATCCCAGTCTGCCCTCCTTCCCCACCCACATTAAAAAATAAATAATAAATTATATATATGTATATATATATATATATATATATATATATGAGGGCAGATGTTAAAAGCCCTTTTTTGGTTATTGAACCAAAAAAGTAGTGACTATCTTGTGCGTATTTTTAATGTTTCCAGTTTGGTAGTGTGGATTTTTTTTTAAAGGAACCCTTTAATTCTTTAACCCTTCTAATTCATAATTTGTGATAGGTAGAATTCTGCTTCAATAAAAGTAATGGATGGCTGGGATATGGCTCAGTGGCAAAGCAGTTGCCTAGCAAGTGTGATGTTCTAAGTGTATCAAAAAAGAAAAGACCAAATATATAAATATAACAGTTAAAGTAGTGGGAGGCTGGGAAGATGGTTCAGTGGTAGAGTGCTTGCCTTGCAGGCATGAGGCCTTGGGTTTGATCCCTCAGCATCACATAAGCAGAAAAAGCCAGAAGTGGCACTGTGTGTGGCTCAAGTGGTAGAGCGATGGCCTTGAGCTGAAGAGCTGAGGGACAGTGCCCAGGTCCAGAGTTCAGGTCCCACGACCGACAAAAAAATAAAGGAAATGCAGGTAGGCAGCTTTGGATCACAGAACTTTTTTTGCCTTTTAAATTTTACATATGGATATTTTTCCCTCTGGTTGTAAAATATACAAACAGGAAATTCAGAAAAGAAGAAATCACTCAGGAATCTACTATAAACACTTTGGCATATTCCCTTTCCTGTACATAGATTATACTTGGTGTAATTTTTTTACAGATGCTTGGTAGAGAATGTTTTATGTGCCTGTTGAAAGAAATAATCTTTCCACCCTGGTGATCATGGGGTGACATGTCACAGCCAGATCGCCCTCCCATCTAAGAAGTCATCTTTCACAATTTATCTTCATTTTGTGAAAACTTGAAAATATTCCAGTTTACTTAAAATCATTGGCAGTTCTTTTTAAAGCAGGCTGGAAGCCTGTTTTACTTATAAAGCTATCTTTTGTAAATTGTGTTTTTATATAATTCTAAGAAGATAAATTTCCTTAACAGAAAAAGTCACTTTGCAAAGAATAGTAACGATATTTGCAAAGAATAGTAACGATATGCTCATGATGGCATATTTTTCTTGGTTCATTCCTGTAGCAACTAGTATGCTTTATAAGAAACCTTCTTAGACCTATGTTATCCTGTAGTCCTGTAGTCCTATACCCACATTGCAGGTACTCAAAAGCTTCTAATGGGTGGTAGCCAACATTACTACCAGTGCAGGTATAAACCGTTACCATAGAAAGTTCTGTTGGACAATGCTGATTTAGGGGCTGTTACAAAAGAAATGGTTTAAAGAATTGAGAAATCAGATCACTTCAAAGATTTAAACCATCAAAGGAAATGAATCCATTAGTATATTTCAGACAGAAAAATCAGGAGCAGTAAATATGAATTCCAAGTGCTATGTTAGACTACATATACGTATGAATGTTGGACACAGAGGGTTTATTGGCTTATTAGCACAAAGCTCAAGCCCGTGAGATTATAAAGAACTGTTCTTTTATTGATGGAGGCTTCAAGAGAGACGGCTTAAGTCTTATACAGTGTTTCAGATGAGATAGGTACTTAATGTGAAGAAGTGGATGAAACAAGAGGAAGAGACTATTGGGCAAACTAGAGAAATTAGTGTTTTGTTTTTTTGTTTGCTTATGCTTGCCTCACTTAGTGCTCTGCCATTCATTTACATCACCAGGCCTCCTGTTTGCCTTGGGTAGGTAGTCCTTACTACTGTGTTGCCCTGTGTAGTAGCCTTTTGTTGTAGGGTCACAGAATTATATACATTTCGTTTGATAACTTAAAATCTTTGTATTTTTAACAGAGACAGGCTATTTTCACCAATTTATTTTATTAGTTTGAAGTCATTTTTAGGTCAGGCTCAGGTAACTGAAGAGCCTTTATGAGTAGTTTATATTGTCTAGATCCAAGGTATGCTGCAAATGCAGTCTGAAGTAAAATGGGAAATAACATTTTTCTAAAGACCGGCTTAGAAATCCTGATCCAGTAAGTTAAGATGTTTGCTTTATCTGGTAGCAGCGCTGATCCATACCTAGGAGAAAACATTGAGATACTTTACTACAAAAAGACTATCAAGTAGCAAACCTATATATAAAATATATTTAATCCTAGAAGTTTTAAGGTAAAATTTATTTTTATCTATTTAAAGATAAGGCCACTCTCAATGCCTGTTAGTTCTAAAAGCTGTCCTGTTTTCTTTTGCCCTGTTCACCTGTGGAAGGTCTGACAGAAGAGTTCAACAGTGAATAACCAGAATTATTTCAGAATAACAGGCTTATAGATAGATTAGGGATATAATTTGTCTTGAATATAAGTGTTGAAATTTAAAAATCTTAACAAAATATCATGCTAGGCAAAGTACTTACTTGCCCGTTTATAGTGAGCATTCAGTGCACAGATTAGGTTAGTTTTGAACTATACCAAGGCATTTTAACTTGATAAAATTAGATTCTTTTTTTAGAAACCTATCTTAACTACTGATCATTCTGATCAAAAATCCTGGGCTGGGAAGGTGGCTCAGTGGTAGAGTGCTTGCCTTGCATGCATGAGGCCCTAGGTTCGATTCCTCAGCACCACATAAGCAGAAAAAGCTGGAAGTGGCGCTGTAGTGGCAGAGGGCTAGCCTTGAGCCGAAGAGCTGAGCGATAGTGCCTAGGCCCAGAGTTCGGCAAAAATTAAAAAAAAAAAAGCTTTTGGCCTAAATGCCTTACAAAAAAAAATTCATTTGCTGTTTTAAGTTCTGAGTTTTCTATGTATTTGTATACATTGTAGATTTTTAATGATTATGAGAAAACAATCTTACCTGGCTGCTAGACCACCATTTACAGGAATAGCCAAGATAATAGGGTACAGACTACCCACAACTAAACCAATCAGTCCACCCCGTGTCACAGTACAGGTTTCACAACTCAAATCACCTAGGAAATAAATCTGTTAGCTCTAGAAGTAGTGGTCATGACAGTTGCCACTGTCAAACGTTACTTAAAGGATCCGAAGTCCATTTAACTTTCAGATATTTTATTTTCAGGCAGTAAAGCAGCAAATGGAATTCTGCACCTCCCTGTTTACAATATAGTTCGTGTACTGACTTAATGTGGGTAAATCCATGGATTTGATCCCCAGTATCCAGACAAATAAAAAAGTGCATGTGTAACCTAAAACAGCCAGGAAAAAAACAAACTGATAAATAACACCTCAGGAAAAAGAATGTATAGTTGGTTTTAGATTGGGTTATAATCAATCTCAAGGTACAGGTAGCATCTAGCTTTCTGTACTTGTTTTGTATCAGCAAACTTAGGCTAGTCTTTTCACTATTTAGTGTACCTGGCAATAACTTGGATCATCAAATTTTTCCTAACTTAGGGGATTCAAACATACTAATTGAATTAATCAAACCTGGAACAGCATTTAACAGAGATAGCTACTGTTTTCAGCCTTTTATTTTAAATGATTAATCAAAGGATTTTTTAAAATGTACTCAAGCATTTAGCACATCTTAAAGTTCTCTAAGTTAAATCTACTATTTGAATACATGCATGTAGTACTTTAAGAAGCTAATAGTTTAATCCACCCCCCAAATTTTCCCCTTTGAAGAACTTCTCTATTGTGTATGTCAGTATTTAAAAACAAAATTTTAAAAATAAAACCACTCATACACAATGTTTCAAAATACTTCTTCTGAGGGCTTTGAGGAAGATAACTTCATGGAAAATAATTAGAATTGCTATGTACATTTTATTTGTTTGGTAAATCATCGTATTATGAATTGTGTCACATAACAGCCTCATGAGATTTAGTCTTATCAAATAACCACATTATATAGCATCAAATAACCACATTATATAGCATGTTGCTACTATATATTAATATTTAAGTATTAACTAAATCAAACTCTTGGGTGATAGTGAAATAGAACTTACCTGTACTCAAAGGTAAACTTACAAAACCTTTGTAAGCCACATGAGCTGTCAAAAATGGGATCACTGCCATTGGTAAGCCAGATGCCACTGGAGCCTTTGTAACATGCAAGACACGTCGAAAAAGACTATTAGCTATTAGACCACAAAAAGCAGCATTAAGTCCAACGTATGTTGATCCATATTCAAGGACATTCCTAAGAAGGTGAGAAAATAATTTTTTTGTTATGTTTGGCTAAGATCTCCAATTCTGGAATACATTACAGAATTTGCCAAGACTTTGGGAAAAACATGTCTATTCTTTAATAACCCCACAGAACCTAACGGTAAATCATTATATTTAGGCCAGATTCTTACTCTAAAAAGCTTTCGAATTTGGTCAGTATTTAAGGATACAGAGAGAGTTTGCTAAATGTGTTTTATGATGCTTGCAAAGGATATTAATACAGAGAATTTCCCCCAACTATGCCATCAGAAGCAGCTTGTTAAGAATGAGTTGGATGGCTCTCTTCTGAGTTCCCACAATATCCACTCAGTACTTCTCCAGTGCATCTATAAGGTGTAAGGACCTTATAGAGATTTACAAGTGACGCTTTACCCTCTACTCTGATTTATAAATAGACAATAGATACAAAGATGTGCTTAACTTGGTTTCCGTTTAACTCCACAACGTGTTGTGTTAACACAAAGTGTTTTACCTAAAGATTCAGTCTCAGGAATGAGCTATTGAGAAAGTATTCAAATTCAAGTGAGACCTTGCTAGACCTTACTTGATATGAGAGTAAAATGAATGAAGTTTAATCCATGTATTTGTGAATTTAGAGCCCTGTTCAGTATATTCTTTAGTTTTGGGGAAAAAAAAACTACCACTGAATGTTAGAAATATAATAATTATTTTTACAACTTGTATTGCACCTGTAGTGCAATTCACCCCCTTAAAGTTTTTATTACTCATAATTAGCCAGACCAAGCCCCATGATAACTTCTGAAGTTTATACTCATTGAAAAGTTTTTTCTCAGACTCCCAGTAAACGCTGTACATTGTATAATTATGAATACTTTGTATTTATAATAACGTTTGTCATTTCAATCATTGAGAGCCTATTACATGCAGCAGACTTGGTAAATTTATAAAAAATTACCCCCTACCTTCAAGATTTGCATAGTTTATTAGTATTGGTTCAGGAAATGAAATGGTTATAGGTTATAGGTTATAATGGTTATAGAAATGGTTCAGGAACTTGGGGTACACATGATATTTAAAGAGTGAAGAGAGCTGAGCACCAGTGGCTCACACCTGTTATCCTAGCTACTTAGGAGGCTGAGATCTCAGGATTGAAGTTCAAAGCCAGCCCCAGCAGGAAAGTCCATGAGACTCTTATCTCCAATAAACCCTAGAAAAACTGGGAGTGGTGCTGTGGCTCAAGCAGTAGCGCGCTCCCCTTGAGCTGAAGAGTGCAGGGACAGCACCCATGCCCAGAGTTCATATGCCCCCCTCCACCCCTCCAAAAAAAGACAGCCTAGAAAACATACTAAATAATCATGGAAAATGTAAATGTGAAAGGCCTGTGCTTTTAATGGAGATTAAGGGAAAGAGAAACAAGCAATTAGTCTAAATTATTTATTTTATCCTTATTAAAAACCATGTGAAGTATGTACTACTGTCCCAACTTTAGTTATAGAAACAACTCAGAAATAATAAAAATAAATAATCCAACTGGAATCTGAAGAACACACTTCGTTATCTCCCAGCAACATTTTAATTTCCTGTAAGACTTGAAGTTTTTAGTAACTAATTCATTTAGGACAAAATTGTCATTACCACCCCCTCTAATTTTCCAAGGAAGTTCTACTCAACTACCATGGAGGTTCTTTTTTGGCAAGACATACAGGAAAAAAGCAGACACTTTAAATAAGAGACCAACTTAACAAACAGTAGTGGAATATAAAATATAATTATTCCATAGATGAGGATTAAGGTGTTTGAAAATAAAAAGTTCATGCACTTCAAAATATACCAAGTTACTGTTAGTCATATTTAATAGTCTGACAATGAAATAAGGGATGAGGATCAAAAAGATAAGACATAAATGAACAGAAATTGGATCAAGGAAAAAATAATAGGGCATTGTTACATGCCCTGATTAGGTGCAATGTTTGAAAGCAATTTTAAATCTTTACTTTCCAGGTCTAGGTCATTTCCTAATGCTCTCTTCTAATTTGGTGAAAGTACCAAAGAGGAAGCTTTCCTGTCTTCAAGGCTGCTGTCATCTAATTCATTCTTTATATTCATCTTTATATCTTCCTGCCTTTCAAGTTTCAAGCAACATGGGGTATTCTTTCACTTGTATTAGGAAGATAAGTTTATGCATGTGTGTGGGGGAGGGGGATTGGTGGTGGTGATGACTAGATAGCTTCTCCCTTGTTGAGGCAGTGACAGTAAGATTGCAATTAGTATAGTTTTCACACCTGAAGATAGGAAAATAATTCCAAAATACATATCAAATCCTTTCCCTTTCATCTCAATGTGATGTGTGCAATCCTCTTTGCTTACCAGGATTAGTATGCTACTTTGATTGTCTTCCTCTTTCTTTTCTACCTTAAATCTAGTCTCCAAAAGGCAGCTTTAACATTCATTAGAAAAACTAGTTGGATTACATTTTCCTGCTTGAAATTCTTCAGTTTCTTATGTCCATTTGCCTTATGCTTCAGTAACACTGAGTCATTAACTATGAGAAACTCTTCAGCCTAGGAATAGGTAATGCCTTCTGAAACAATGCCCTTCCCTCTTTCCAGGCTAGCTCCTTTTCTTTTCTTTTTTTTTAATTTAATTTTATTTTATTTGAGAACATACTGTACACAGGCTAGCTCCTTTTCATCCTTTAGAAGCATCATCTATTTCATTTGAAATGTAACTTTGTCAGATTTACTGGCTGTCAAGGAGAACTAACAGCATTTTGTGGAAGTACACTGTGATTGCATGTGATTGTCTGAAAAATTCAGTATATTTCCTTATTTCCTTGAAGATCTTGTGGTTTGGGTGGTACTATAATTTAAACTCAGAGTCTTATGCTTGCTCAGCTGGTGCTCTACCACTTGAGCCTCACCTCCAAACCTGATTTCTGTTGGTTATTTTTCTGCCCCAGCTGTCCTTGAACTGTGATCCAGTATCTCATCCTCCCGAGTAGCTAGGATTACAGTGTTAGCCACTAGTGCTTGGTTCTTAGTAGTATCTTTTTTTTTTTTTTTTCCAGTCCTGGGGCTTGAACTCAGGGCCTTAGCACTGTCCCTAGACTTCTTTTGCTCAAGGCCAGCCACTTGAGCTACAGTACCACTTCTGGCTTTTTCTGTTTATGTGGTACTGATGAATCCAACCCAGGGCTTCATGCATGGTAGGCAAGCACTCAACCACTAAGCCACATTCCCAGCCCCTTAAAACTCTTTAGCCATGGTCTAATTTTTCTGGCATTCACTTTCTAGCCACAGGTCTGGGTACTTTTTACACAAGTAAGCATACTAATAGAAATGAATTTAGAAATGAGAAATGAATTGGGAAAGATTAAGTTTTTAAGTTTTATTATTCAAATAGGTCCATCAATATTTACATGTATGTGGAAAAGCTAAATTATCATGCAATTATATACATCTAGAGACACCTAGCCTCAACTTCCAAAATTAGCTATGCAGTGTTGAGCAAAATGATTAATCTCTGAGCCTGTTTCCTCAAGAGAAGGGCCACCTGTGGGTGATTCACACTTGTAATCCTAGCTTCTCAGGTTTGAATAGACTTCAACTTCAGTAAACCATCAAAATTTCATACTGGAGGTGTGGTCAATGATAGAATGCCAACCATGAGCAACAAAATCAAGTGAGAACATGAGACTGTTAAGTTCAAGATCTGTTACCCCAATACCTTCCCCCTCTAAAAAGAAGAGAAAAAAAAGAGAGAGAAAGGGGCTTAGTTTCTTGATATCCTCTGTTATAAGCCACATAAACATGAGATAATGATGAAAATCTATCTGTTGAAAGCTATTTTACAATTAGGAGATCCTAGGGCTAGAGCATGGCTTAAGTAGTAGAACACTTGGCTATGATGTGCAATGCCCAGAGTTTAAATGTCAGTAACAAAAGAAAAGAAAGTTTAAGGGGTCTTACCTATCTGCTTCTGGAAGTTGGTTAATTTTTCTGGTTATGATATCAAAAACTAAGTTTTCCTTGAGAGTATCGTCTGGTTTATGATCCATCTTGAACCTTTAGAAACATGAAAACATTTTTCAAATCCTCAGAAAAAAATTTTTAATAGCTTTCTGAAGACTAAATAGTTAAGAAAGGACTGCAGATTAAGTTCATGATTTGAAAATCTACACACAAAAGAACCCCCACGCACTAAAAATAAATGAAAATAGTGATAATAATGAAATAGCAAAATATGAGAAATAATTTTTTTTGAGAGGACTGGAAATGTGACTCAAGTATTTCAGCACTAGCTATGAGTGGAAAAGTGAATTGTGTGCAATGCCCTGAGTACCAAGACACAAAACTTTAGGAAATACAGAATATTTTTACAATCCCCCAAAATCTCTTGAACAATTAAAAAATAGCATTAAACAGAAGACAGAAAATTAACATTAATGTTGGTAACTTGTGTTTATCTACAGATACAAAGACAAGGAAATGTAGGAGGAAACGTTTGCAACTTACAATAGTTAACACCCAGAACATATACAGAACAGCCAACAGAAAACACTGTGTATGTGTGTGTGATAACGGGGAATCATGGGTTTGAACAGCACTCTGCTTTGGAAGTCTATTATAGTTATGCCCCAGCCCTTTCTATTTTGTTAAGATAGGGTCTGTAATTTTGTGTGGTCTGGCCTTGAGCTTGAATCCTGCCCCTGCCTCCCAAGTAGCTAGGATTACTAGGCATTGTACCACCATAGCCAGCTGGGAAATATTTTAACAAGCACTTCTCAAAAAAAGGAACGTCAAACTGCCAATAAATGTGGAAGAATCTCAACTTCAACACAACTGGGAAAATAAAATCACAATGAGGTAAATTTTCTACTAAACAGCCAAACAAAAATTCTAAAGTTTTACAGGTAACTTGATTGTAGATGAGTAAGAAAAAAGAAACATAACATTGTAAAAATCATTCTTGGCTGGCTGAACAGAACAAAGTTTAGACTGTGTATGGTTAAGTTACCAATAGTTTCCTTGATCTCTGCACTGGACAGGATGAATGTCAAGAGTAGGGGAATGGTGAATGAGTTTTAAAATAAAGATTGGGTTAGCTAAACAACACTTTCAAGCTAACTGTTTTAGAAAAGCAAAGGTTGCAGCGATTCAGGCTTGTAATCCCATCACTTAAGAGGCTGAGGCAGGAGGATAAAGAGTTCAAGGCTAGCCTGGGCTACTCAGCAGAACCCTGTCTCAAAAAATATAGTTTAGAAAAGGAAAGGAGGGAGGTGTGAAAATATAATTTGTGTAACTGTACCTATCTATGGAATTATCACAATGAACCCTCGTCCTATATGCTAATTAAAAAAAATAAAAGCTAGGCGTTGGTTGGGAGTCTTGAGATCTGGAGAATGACAAGGTTCAAGGCTAGCCTCGGCAGACAAGTTGATTTGATCTTATCTCCAAAATAACCAGTAAAAAAAGCAGGGAAAAAGGAGGTTCAAGTAGTAAAGCAACCAACCTAGCAAGTTCAAGGCCTTGAGTTCAAATTGTATTATTGCCAAAATAATAAAGCCAGAATTAAAAACAAAACAAGCATAAAACAAAGTTACAGGATAACATAGTTTTGTTTTTGGGTTTTTTTTTTTTTTTTGTCAGTCATGGGGCCTCAACTCTGGGCCTGGGCGCTGTCCCTCAGCTCTTTAGCTAAGGCTAACGCTCTACCACTTGAGCCACAGGCCAATTCTGGCTTTTTCTGCTTATATGGGGCTGAGGAATCGAACCCAGGGCCTCATGCATACAAGGCAAGCACTCTACCACTGAACCACCTTCCCAGCCCCAATAACATAGTTTTATGAATCAGATTAGTCTGCTACAAGATCATAGCATTACTTTAACAAATATTTACATATAAAAGTAATTTGGAGAATGTTGAAGCACTGAAATTCAGCGTCTAGATGTAAGTTACCCAAGAAGCTGGGCTGCTGGTGGCTCACGCCTGTAATCCAGCCTACTCAGGAGATTGACGTCCTAGGATCCCGGGTTTAAAGTCCTTGAAACACATCTCCAATTAACTAGCACAAAGTAGTAGCACTGTGGCTCAAACTGATAGGGCGCCAGCCTTGAGCAGAAGAGCCCAGTGGCCAGGCCACAACACCAAGCCCAACGACTGACAAAAAAAAAAGGACAAATTTGGGTCAGGTGTCCAGGACTTAAAAGTTGAGGACTTTGATTTCGACAGTGATAGAGAAAATCCACGCTACATAAATGAGGTGGAGGAATAGGTATTTAATCAAACTCAAATATGTCGTCATGAGTAAGTCAGAAATTTTCTTTAAAATGTCGGGCCCAGTACTATTATCACCTTTCTGTTTCATGCTCTGAAAACTGGTGAAGTGAAATACGTTTCTACACTGTTTCTCTTAAAACTCACCCTTAATTTCCTAAGAGTGCAGAGTAGCACTGGTAGAATTGTACTGATTGTATTAATTGTACTAATTCCCTATTAGAACAATCCCACTTTTACCCAAACATTTCAGTAGGTTTTTGAATGACCTTATTACTAAAACATTCAGAGACAGGTAACAAGTAGGACTGCGTACTGAATCTGGCCTGGTCACCCTTTAACTGCAGTTATCCTTGGGATAAATCCAGTCATTTAAATACAAGGTCTTTCCTTCTAGAGTGGAGAACAGAGAGGGTCAGCCAGCACGGTGGGTCCACCTCCCCTCCTCCCTCGTTTCATTCCTGATCGCCGGTGGACTATGTCGCCACACGTTTCTTCTTCATCTCTTTTCCCAGAAAAACACTACCTCCCAGCAGCCGGCTCCGGGTTTCCTCCTGGGCCGCTCGGGTCTCACTACCACCTTGGCTCCATTTGCCTGGGCGCAGCCATCTTTAGCTGACACGTCACTCTGCGCGATCTCCACTTCCGGTTAGACTTCCGGCGTGCTGCGCGGCGAGGGAGGGAGCAGTCCTTTCAACCCCTGCCCGGGACCGGGCTTGGAGAAAATGCGGTATTTTACATATAAACTGCGTGGCCCCAAACGCTACTATTTCGCTGAAAATCTTCTTGGGTACACTACTTCTGGCCAGGGGAGTCCAGCTCCTGAGGTTGGCCCGATGTGTACGCTGGCTCAGAAGAAGTCGTAAAGGAGGGGGGCTCCACTGTTGTTCTCTCCTCTTCCCCCCCCCCCCCCCCACACCTTTTTAAGCCCTCGCTTCCGTGTTAGGATCTGATTGATTGTCCAAATATAACGAGCAATTTGAGCAAAACTTTTTTTTGTTTTTTCCAGTCCTGGGGCTTGAACTCGGTCTGGGCACTGTTCCTGAGCTGCTTTTGCACAAGGCTAGCACTCTACCACTTGGGCCACAGCACCACTTCCAGCCTTTTCTGTGTGCATGCTAGGCAAGCACTACCACTAAGCCACGTTCCCAGCCCACAACCAAACTGATTTGTAAATATTTTTATAGTTATAAGTGTGATGAACAGAGGGGTTACACTTACACAAGACAAATGACATTTCTTTAACTTTTTTCTTATTATAAGTGATGTGCAGGGGGGCTACAGTTACATAGGTCAGGGAAAGAATGTTAATACTTCTTGTATAATGTCACCCTTTCCCTCCCGCTCTCCCAGTTTTTCCCTCCTGTCCTCACCTACAAATTGTATTGTTCATTTTCAACATAGAGAAAACCAACTTTTAAGGCAGAAGAAAGACAAACTTAAAAGTCCCAAGATGAAATAGACCAATACAGGGCACCACTGGGCATCACTATTACAGATTCCTTGTAAGTTTCCATACACATTGTTTTTTTTTTTTTTAAATTTAATTTAATTTTATTTGTGAACATACTGTACAGAGGAGTTACAGTTACATGGGCAGGATAATGCGTACATTTCTTACCAAGCATTGCAGCCTCCTCCTTTGTTTATCCTTCACATCCAAGTTTCCATACACATTGTACAAGGCAGAGATTACAAAAGTTTCCTTTTAAGATTAAAATATAAATTACTACAATTATTTAATGACTTTTTATGAATTTGAATAAAATCCTGCATAATCTGGCTTCAAGATGACTCCAAAATCACCTTGAGCCATTTTAATACTCATTGTACTTGTTTGCATTGTACTTGATTTTCATTTCTTAACTCTTAAGGGTTTTTAACATTACAGCCATGCCGCTTTGCCTGGACCACTCTCCATCCCTAGATTTCACCTGGCGGGTCTCATTTCTCAAATCTCTGATTTTTCTAAGCAAACCTTGACCATTTAAATTCTGTTAACCTCTCTATCCTGTTTCTTTCAAGGAATTAATGTATTTTCCTTATCAAATATTTCATGAAACTACCTATGGACTTTCTCACATGATAGTGAGATACATAAAAACAATTGTAATTGTGTATTTTATGCTATTTTTGAGATATACAGGGAACAGTTTGGGACATCTGTTTTGAATAGCCAAAATCCTTTCAAGAGAACAGCTAGTTCATGGGAGGCAATTCACAATGGTATTGCTATATCTTTTGTGACTTGAGCTTTACTTCAAGAGTGTTTACATAGGGCTGGGAAGGTGGCTCAGTGGTAGAGCGCTTGCCTTGTATGCATGAGGCCCTGGGTTTGATTCCTCAGCAACACATAAGCAGAGAAAAAGAGCCGGAAGTGGTGCTGTGGCTCAAGTGGTAGAGCACTAGCTCCTGAGCTGAAGAGCTGAGGGACAGCGCCCAGGCCCAGAGTTCAGGCCCCACGACTGGACCCAAAAAAAAGAGTGTTTACATAGTGATCTTTTAAGTTTCATATTGTCCTTCCCTTTGAGTCAGAGGGCAGTTTTGTTTTCGAAATAGGATAATAAACTGCCTCTTACTTAAAAACAAAGTTTGAAAAGTTTGTTTCTAGTCCCCGTGTAAATTTAAGGTTCACCTTTTCTTCAGCTAGCACACAGATACACCTGTGTAGCCCTCACCCAGGCCTACCTCATTACCTCTGTGTTGGGACTTGAGTGGACAGATGAAGCAATGCAAACCTGAATGCTCATTTTGCATGCCTTTTAGAGATCATTTTCTCATCACTGGTTGAAACAGTGGAAGTGTAGCACGTCTGCTGCCATCACATTGCAGCTTAGGGAATATTCATCACTTGATTCAAAATTATACATTACAGTACAATAGTCACGAGCCGTATGTGGCTATTGACCACAAAAGTGAGGAATGGAAGACACTACATGAAAGGAAATTACTCATTACTTGACTCCCATCATTGTAATCTCTCTGTAGATCATGTTTCTAATAACAATAAAGTAAATAAAAAGGAACATAGCCAGTCCAAATTGGGATTTGCTGTAAGTGGATGACATGCACTATATTTTGAGTATTTAGTACAAAAGTTTTTAGGCTATATATTGAAATGATTATAGTTTAAACAAAATGTATTGAGTTTAATGGAATTATTAAAATGAATATATTCTTGCTTTTTAGGTAGAGCTACTAGAAATGTAATAGTATAGTAGTATAGGGCTTGCATATTACATTTCTATTGGACAGTGCTGATTTAGAAGCTATACCTAAGCTTTGTTAGGTAAATAATATATAGGCATAACACTTCAAAAATTTAATTTTTCGGGGGGGGGGAAGGAGAAGGATTGGGATTGGGGGGGACGGGGGAGGCTGGGAAGGGATGTGAAGGGTAAACCAAAGGAGGAGGCTGCAATGCTTGGTAAGAAATGTACGCATTATCCTGCCCATGTAATTGTAACCCCTCTGTACAGTCTGTTCACAAATAAAATAAAATTAAATTTAAAAAATTTTTAATTTTTCATCCTCCAAAATTTCTGAGTAACTGGTAATAGTATGTCATTGTATTCAGTATATATCTATCTTAGGATTGATAGACCTTTAGACTCCATGCCAAGAAAGTCTATGATTGCAGTTTTGAAACTTGGATAGATATGTGTGTGCATACACACACATAAAGGTTTATTTTCACAAAAGTAATCATTGAAAATCAGTTTCCTTTTACTTACATTGCTTTCCATTTAAGATTTGAAGAACACTCTCCAAGTATTCTGCTCACTAGGATGGTACTGATGGAATTCTAGTGAGGCTTCATTATATCTGTTTGTATTTCTTAATTATGTAGAAACTGCAAAACCAACAATGGGTAGAGAAGAATGGGCAGTAAGGTTGAATGGGTTTAAAAAAATGAAAACAGGTTGGAGCGTGGAATAGCTTAAATGACCAGGCTAAGAATCTGAATAATCTGAATCTGCTCTCTTTTATTTGCTTTTCTTGCAGTTGAGACATTAGTTATTAATGCTGGGACTGATATCATCATAGTTGTATTTCAGTAAGACTCACATGGCATAGAAAAATGGAGGCAATATGAGAGATGAAGATTAGTACTGTGCCAGAGGCTCATGCCTATAGTCCTAGTTACTCAGGAGGCTAAGATCTGAAGTTCACAGCCAGCTTGGGCAGGAAGTTTATGAGACTCTTAGGTCCACTTAATCACCAACAAGCTAGAAGTGGAGCTTTGGCTCAAGTGGCAGCACTAGCTTTGAGTGAGAAGCTAAGGGACAGAGCCTCGACCCTGAGTTCAACTCACAGTACCAGAACATGTGTGTGTGATCTCTTGATCAGGTACTGTTCCTAAGCTCTTTTTGCCCAAGGCTAGAGCTCTACCACGTTGAGTAGCAGTGCCACTTCCGGTTTTCTGGTGGTTAATTGGAGATTAAGAGTCACAGGGACTTTTCTGCTGGGACTGGCTTTGAACTGTGATCCTCAGAACTCAGGCTCCTGAGTAGTTAGGATTACAGGTGTGATTCACCAGTACCTGACTGGAAGTGAACTTTCAATCTCACAGATCCTACTTGTGTCCTCCTTCCAAGTTATCCTCCATATGTTGGGAATATGTTATTTCAAACAATGTAGCTGAACTTTGGGTTGTTCACAGAAAGAGATAGAATATAGCTATAAATTAAGAATCTGTAATGCACTAGAGAAACAATCTACTTACACCAGAAAAAAACAAAACAGAAAAACCCAATTTGTCATATCCTATTTTTTGTTATTAAAAATGATTGCATTTTTTGATTTTGTAAATGTTTGAAAAACTAAGAAAGAGGTAATTGCAGCTTCTTAGCAAAAAAATATTTTTTCTAGCAAAAAATATTGGCACACAGCTAATCCAAATCAGAGAAAATGGAATGTGACTACTTGTTACTACCTACACTACTACCACAGTCAAGAAATATTTCATATTTTTAAAAAAATACTCAGAAAATAAAGACTTGCAACTGCTGGAGATGATAGATTCTGTTGTCAATTATGATGATAAACTGGACAAACTAATGATGTTTTTCTACTTCCTGGGGCTCATCTTGATAAATATTACTTTATATGATCAGACGCACAGAGCCATTACACCTTTGTGTTTCTCCTCTAAAAGTATCCTTCTTTGGTTTCCCTATGTGTCAATGCCTAGGGTCCTGTATAATTGATACTTTTTTTTCAAGTCACCAGGAAGAGAAGAATGTAAATTTTTTGTTTTTCTTTTCTTTTTTTTTTAGCACTACTGGGGACCCAACCTAGAGCCTTATGCGTGGCAGGTAAGCAACTACCACCATGCTATGATCTCAACCAGCAGTATATAATTCTTGAGAAGAAGGGGAAAGTGCTGAGTGAGACCACATTTATCTGGACATTTTTTACCCCTGAGGGCATTACTTAGCTTTTGTGTTATATGGGAAATAAAGTACTCCTAGAAAGCCATATTCTTTTCAGTGTAAACATTTTGATATTAAAGATTGAGAATTTTAGAAAAACTAGAAATGGAGAGGCAGTGTGACCTAAGGAAAAAAGCTATTAGGAGGGGAAAATGAAACACATATGTTTTATAATAACATTTATTCAATTATTATGTATTTATCAAGTATCTGACATATACCATACAAACAGAACAGAAACAGGAATTACTTTTCATTTTTTCAGCAATGGCTATGTCTTCATCATGAAAAAAAAAATCAGTCTACTGAGTTAGCCTCCATCCATTGTTTGGTTAATCTTTACATATAGTTTTTAAGTGTGCTTTCATATATTGTATAATGTCGTAGACCATTAACTAGTCCAAAACATGTCTGAAAGATCAGAGGAATTACCATTAGTTTAATTTCTGTTTGACAAAGAAGCACCCAGTGAAGTAAAACTCTTCCTTTTGGTGGCAGTGGAACAGTATGGTACCTAAAAGTGAAGAAGAATTAACCATGTCTTCTGGATGCCAAGTCTATCAAAAGTTAATTCATTTCTCCTACAATGATAATTTCCACTATAGATCTAGCATGCAGATACAGTACAAAAAAAAGTTTGCTAAACTATTGTTTCAATTAGAACGTATAAATGCCTAAAGAATAAGAAGTTTGTTAACTTACAAAAAGAAAAGAAAAAAAAGAAAGGAATAAAGGAATGGACAGAGACTTACTTGACTGCCAGTCGTCCATTTTTAGAAAAAGCCAAAGCACTGGGATGTAATATACCACATACTATACTAACCAGCAAACTTCTCAGGACGCAATTTTCCTTGCTTATGTTACCTAGAAAAAGAAAATTTTATTTTCCTCTAAAATTTAGGATAAGAGGACTAGAGATGTGGTAAAAGTGGTAGAGCTTCAGTGAGAAAAAAAAATTAAGGATAAGAACTCTTTTTTTTGGGGGGGGGAGTGGGGGGGTCCGGTCGTGGGGCCTGAACTCTGGGTCTGGGCGCTATCCCTCAGCTCTTCAGCTCAAGGCTAGCACTCTACCACTTGAGCCACAGCACCACTTCTGGCTTTTTTCTTTTTGCTTATGTGGTACTGAAGAATCGAACCCAGGGCCTCAGGTATGCAAGGCAAGCACTCTACCTCTGAGCCACCTTCCCAGCCCAGGATAAGAACTCTTAAGGTAATATTGCCTCACAAAGTCTCAAAAGTTCTTTGTACTATCCTTAATCACAGTGAAACAATATAAAGAATATTAGAAATTCAGTCTATGGCTTAAGAGACATAAAGCATCTTTAAAAAATTCTTCCAGCTGGGCACTGTGGCTCAAGCCTGTAATCCTAGGTACTCAGGAGGCTGAGATCTGAGGATTGCAGTTCAAAGCCAGTCTAGGCAGGAAAAGTCCGTGAGACTCTTATCTCGAATAAACCACTCAAGACCACCATCACCAACAGCAGCAGCAACAACAACAAAATTCTTCCAATTTACTTTAGCTGAAGGAGAGTTACCACTTATGTATGCTTATAAAAATTATTTAATAACTAGCAGATGAGTACCCAATTCTCAGTTTATACATGTACTGTCTACTATGGCTCAGGTAAGTCATAGTGCTAGAATAGTACATATAAGAAACTTCTTAGTCAATTTACTAGAAAGACATTAGAAAAATATTTAAAAGATAATCGTAAGTGGGCACAATGCTTTGGAGGTAAAGTGTAATAGAATGTACCTAGAAATTTACAATGAGGGAATTAAGGTTTCCATGGAGATAGGATGTTTAGGCAAGGACCTGAAGAATGAACAAGGACTAGAGGCTCCATCAGTAACTACTTGTGAAAATAAAGGTAAGGTGAGGAGACAAGGAATAACATTAGAAGTCCATAATATGCTGGACACTGTGTTAGGCATTTAGCATAGAGCACCTTTAAATTTTCAACAATCATGACGTAAGTACTGTAAATTCGAATTCGTGTATAAGAAAATCCAAACTCAGAGTTTAAATGAATTGCCCAATGTCACAGAACTTCAATGATGGAAGTAGGATCTGAAATTGTGTGCAAAGTATCTCAGAACCTGTTTTCTCAGTATATTATATTGTTTCCCAGTACTTAAACATGCGCCAGTGTTGGTTGTTTAACTTTGAAAGAAGAACAATACTTTTAGCCTTGCCTGATCAAATGTGGATCACATATAAAAATATGTGAAGTACTGTGTAACTTAAGTTTACTGTAAGTAATTAAAATTAATATAATTGAAACTGTCAAAAATATATGTGAAGATACTTGTAAGGAGTAAATATACAAATATAAGAGATTATCAATAGCATGTTAGTTAATGGTTACTTGAACATAACCACTTTTTTTTTTTTGGTCAGTTGTGGGGCTTGAACTCTGGGCATAGGCGCTAACCCTGAGCTCTTCAGCTCAAGATGAGAGTTCTACCACTTGAGCCACAGCATCACTTCTGGTTTTATGGTGGAGGTAAGAGTCTCATAGACTTTCCTGCCCAGGCTTTGAACCGCGATCCTCAGATCTCAGCCTCCTGAGAAATAAACACTTTATGTAAAAAGTTTCAGTTTACCTGAACACAAAGCATCAGTTACAAGGAACTTGTAAGTAACTACTGAAGATAAAAATGGAAACGTAGCCAATGATGAATATGTCTTCAAAGTATCATAATTGACTTTCAAGCAGCTTCTGAAGACCAAGTTTGCTGATATTCCAGAGATGCTAGCTGTTGTTCCAAGCAGGATTGTTCCATTTATATTTAAGGCCCTAGTAGGGCAAGCACAGAGAAAATTAGGTTTAATATAATTGGACAAATATATCTTTTCTTCAGTAGTAACTTGCTATTATATATTTACTCATTATAAAATAATTCTCGAGCACTCACTACATAAAAGATACTTTTATAAGTGATAAAGATGGGGAAGTAAAAAGCAGAAAGAAAAAATAATTCCCACCCATCTTGGAAGTTGCATTCTGTGGGAGAACATGATTCTCCCACAGAATACTTAGAATTCTTTTGTGGCCACAAAATAATTTTTTTTTTTTCAGTTGTGGGGCTTGAACTCTGGGCTTGGGCGCTGACCCTGAGCTCTTAGGCTCAAGGTGAGCGCTCTACCGCTTAAGCCATAGCACCACTTGCGGTTTTCTGGTAGTTAATTGGAGATAATAGTCTCATGGACTTTCTACTGGAGCTGGCTTTGAACTGTGATCCTCAGATCTTAGCCTCCTGAGTAGCTAGGATTACAGGCGTGAGCCACTGGTACCCCGCTGAATATAAATATATTTAATTACACCCAAATTGTGTAAGATATTTTTCCCTTCAAGAAAATCTTCCCTGTTATTAAGAATTGTTTAATTGAACCTAGAAAAAATTGTTTACAATTGGTTATACTCTCTACAAAATATGCTAGTCCATTTAAAATAATGTCCATGATTTACAAAACCTTACCCAAAGATGTGGTAGATCTAGTTTTACTTATTCTGACTCATACTTAAATCCAGAAAGTTCTGAAGTTTAAGATCAACTATACTTTGACTTTACTCTTGAGTTCTATGAATTTAGACCCAAAATAGTAATGAACTTACACTTACACCATGGAATCTGTATTCCTTTTTTACTATACTCTACTGTACCTGAAACAATCAATCTGAAAGTGACTTCAATCATAATTTCTCAGTACAATACAAATACCTGTAAAAATGGTTTTATTCTAATTATTTGGAATTTAGAAAAAAAAATACCTGGCTAATTGGTTGAGTTGGAGTCTAACTCTTTGCCTAGCTGGCTATGACCCACAATCCTCCTAATTACCTCTTGAGCAGCTGGAATTACCTGTAGGTATGACTACTCCTGGCTCTCTTCTTGTTTTATCTTTAAACATGCATTCTTCATATAGCCATCTCAATAGAGTTAATAGTTTCTTAGATAATTCTCAGTCAAAACTTGTGCAAATTAAGTTGAGTATGCCTCTTACTTTTCTTTTCTAAGTGATTCAATTTTTTTTTCTATGATATCCATGACTGTTGGTCTTCTAAGTTTTGCATCTCTTAAGGAAGGAGTTGGATGACCAGGTGGGTATACTGCTATCTTGGTGTCCTGGAAAACACAAAATTCTATGCTTTAATATATTTTAAGCAAAGGATTCATTAAACATTTACTGAACTCTTATCTGCTAGACAGTGGCTTTTTTTTTTTTTTTTTGCGGGTCGTGGGGTTTGAACTCTAGGTTTGGGTGCTGTCCCTGAGCTCTTCAGCTCAAGGCTAGTGCTCTACCACTTGAGCCACAGCGCCACTCCCAGTTTTCTGGTAGGTTATTGGAGATAAGAGTCTTACATACTTTCTGCTTGGGCTGGCTTTGAACCGTGATCCTTAGATCTCAGCCTCCTAAGTAGCTAGGAGCCACTGGCACCTGCCTCTGATAGTGGCTTTCTGGATGACACAATTGGCAGGATAATGATCATCTCTGCTTTTACAGATGAGAAAACTTATGTTAACAGAGGTTGACTTGCCACCAAGACACTAAGCTTTTGTTTTCAATAGTTTTCTTTCTTATTCCAAGACAGGGGCAAGGCCCTACCTGCTTTCTCTCGTCAGCTAAGGGGGTGGAAACACCTGCTTGTTGACAATTTGTCCTCTCTCATGGAAGCAGGAGAACAGGGAAAAAAGAACAGGGAAAAAAAATCTGTTCTCTCTTTAGATGGAGACTGTTCCTACCTTGGAAGAGGCAGTGAATTATCGCTACCTTGGTTGATATTAAGTTATACATTCAGTTTTCCAGCAGTGTCTGAGGTGAAAGCTGGCCTTTGTGAGGAATAGCTCTATCTCAGGCTGAACTCATGGCACTAGGCTCCAGGGTTGGAGGCACATGTGTCCCAAGTATGAGCTACACATAATTGCCAATATGAGGAACAATACATTGTATTGTATTAAAAAAAACAAACAATGAGACTCCCCTCAAAAAAGTTTCAAAATGATGCTTTCTGAATTGTTTTTCTCTAGGTAAGACCCTTGGGTTTTTGTAAAGTTTTTTTTTTTTTTTTTGGTTGGTTGTGGGCCTTGAACTCTGGGCTTGGGCACTGCCCCTGCGGCTCTTCAGCTCAAGGTGAGCGCTCTACCACTTGAGCCACAGTACCACTTCCAGTTTTCTAGTGGTTTATTGGAGATAAGAGTCTCATGGACTTTTCTGCCCTGGCTGGCTTTGAACTGTGATCCTCAGATCTCAGCCTCCTGAGTAGCTAGGATTATAGGTGTGAGCCACCAGCGCCCGGCTTTTGTAAAGTTTTAATAACATTTTAAAAGTCTTTTAGCATTCTGTTACTATGAAGTTAAAAAGCTGTTTAACCTGTGTGTCAGTGGCTCAAACCTCCAATTCTAGCTGAGTGGAAGCTAAGAGGAGCATGACTCGAAACCAACCCTGGCAGAGTCCATCAGACTCATATTCAAAAAGCTGGAAAGAGAACTATGACTGCAGTGGTAGAGCACTAGTCTTGAGTGAAAAAGCTAATGAATAAATCCCAGGCACTAGAACACACTAGTACACACACACCCATACCCTCCCCCCACGTTTTGTTCTGTCATTTAAACAAGAAATGGATGTTTCTTACGAATCCAAATTTGTGGTTGCAAATGTTTATTTACTACATTGATAAGAGCAAGATTGATGTAAAATTCAGTTTATTTCTTTTACTCTATATTCTCCAATCAATTAATAAATTAAAAAATCAATGGCTATTCACAAGTCATACGCATATCAGTTTTAGCAATATTTACAGTCAAGGTCAGTTCAGGAAATCTTACGCAAGAAATTAGAGTAGATTAATCACAATGAACATAAAAGACAGTATCAAAGGTTCTCAATCTTCAGTGTGAGAAAGTATGGTAAGAGACATTTATTTAAAATGCACCCTGAGATTTGTGGATTTAACAGAGGCAAAATGAAGCCTAGAATCTGCATTTTGTTATCAGCAATGGATTCTGAAGTTGTTGATGAACACCACTTGAATATCACTGTGATGAGAATTAAGCTTAATGAGTATTAAGGAAATAACTCTAATGAAAGACAGCACAGAGGATCATGTGCTCACAGGAGGTATGTGTTCTTCTGAGCTTTAAGATATATAATGAGTAACAATAGGCCAGTTTCCCTGCACTACTGTACTCAAGCCAGTTCGTTTTTCCTAAAGTATTTGGGAGAACAGAGGAACAAAAGATATTTTACAACTTGCAATTTTTTATTTTTAAAGTGTAGACTTTTTAAAAATTTTTTTGCTTCTCCTTAACATCCAAGTGGAAAGTGGAAGTGAGGTGACAAGAATAGTTAAAGGGGATTTTCTAAGGGAGATTATTTAACTATGTGTACTATGTAGTGTACTATGTGTACTATGCAGGCAGATATCAAAAGCATGATTAAACAGAAACCTTACATATTTTCTCTGCCATTAGCAATTCATTCAAATCCTCTCTGAAAAGAAAACATCTAGGTGTAGTATTTTGTAACCTATCTAGTGTACACCCTCAGTTCCCTAGAGGACAAAGAACACACTCACTCCATCCAGGATTACAATTACAGGACAAAAAATACCAAATGTCAAATAATATTAAATTAATGATTACAGGGGCTGGGAAGATGGCTCAGTGGTAGAGTGCTTGCCTTACATGCATGAGGCCCTGGGTTCGATTCCTCAGCACCACATAAGCAAAAAGAAAAAAGCCGGAAGTGGCGCTGTGGCTCAAGTGGTAGAGTGCTAGCCTTGAGCTGAAGAGCTGAGGGACAGCGCCCAGACCCAGAGTTCAGGCCCCACAACCGGACCCAAAAAAATAAAAAATAAAGAAAATAAAGAAAACAAGATAGCAAAAAGTTGAGTGCAGTGGGGCTCCGGTGGCTCACACCTGTAATCCTAGCTATTCAGGAGGTTGAGATCTGAGGATCGCGGTTGAAAGCCAGCCCGGGCAGGAAAGTCCACGAGACTCTGATCTCCAATAAACCATCAGAAAACCGAAGTGGATCTGTGGCTTAAGCGGTAGAGCACTCGCCTTGAACTGAAGAGCTGAGGGACAGCGCCCAGGCCCAGAGTTGAGCCCCAAGACCGACAAAATAGAAAAAAAAAAGAAAAAGAAAAAGAAAAAAAAGGTTTAGTGCCTGTCTTTTTGCAAAGCATTGTTAAGGAATCAACTGCCTTCATCACACTTCCCTTACTGAACCAGACAGACACGTAACTTTCACAAGTTCCTAGTTTACAGTTTGGGAACAGAACGCAACGTAGTCCCCCCGCTAGGTTCTCCAGGACTAAACGACACCCTGTGCTCTCAGAAGAACCTTACTGGGCACTGAACTGTAAACATTTTGTTATGATCTGTACTTCCTCTAACATTACTGACTCCGAGGTGCTTACACCCGTCCGTGTGGGCAGGTGTGTAGATGGTTTCCGGCTGCGCTGAATTTCACATGTGTTACTGCACGTTTTACCGAGCACCTGGTCGGTGTGGGCCAGGGAACCGTGACCCTACAACCCCGACGCGGGCGCGGGCCGGGAAAACCCCACCTGGCGGGAGGAAGGCCCCTGGAGGAGGGTCAATCAGAAGCACATCTCAAAGAGGAGCATCTGCGGCGGGTGGAGGGGATGGGAACCTGGCGGTATTACCAACTGAAGACTAAGCCTGCCCCAAGTCTAGAAGTAAGAGAGGGTAAAGCAGACAATCAAGACGAGGCTCTGCTCTTCGCAAGCCAACTAGGGCCCTAACTGCCCTGGAGAGGCTCGGAGCGAGTCTCTCTGTTTAAGTAATTCACGTGATACCGTCTCAGAACACTTTGAAATCACAACCCAGACCGCCCCGGCTGTCCGCCTACCTCGGGCCCGCCGTCTCTCACCGGAACCATACCTGCGTCGTCCGCTTTAGCCCCGGCCACGGGCTTGAGCGCCGCCATCTTGACGCCTCACGTGACCGGCGGGTGGGCGGGGATCCAGAACGCTGGGGGCGGGGAATAGGGGGGTGGGACTGGCGGTCCGCTCGCAACTGCCCTCAGCAACCAGGCCCGCCCCTGTCCAGTTGAAAGCCGCGCCCTCCATCCCGGCTAAGATTGGGCGCGTCGTCCAGAAATGACAGCCGTTCATTGGCTCCGAGGTAGCGCCCAGCCACCCGTGGGCCCGCCCCCTTTCGTGCCGTGGGCCCGCCCCCTCCACTCCCCGTATCTTCCCTCCGGGCATCTGTCAGGCCGCCCGGTCGGCTCGCCAGCTGAGAAGTGGGGGTGTTGGAACCATGGGTACGCGGCTGTGCGCCTTTCCTTCCCTCAGGGCCGCTGCGTTCGCTGGGCATGGCAGCCGGCCCCTTTCAGTGGTTGAGGGCGCTGGCCTCTCGGTGTCCAGGTGTTAAGGAAGCCTGTCTGGGCTCGCAAGTGCCTCCGAGCCTCCACCTGCCGCCCCAGCGCGGGAAGGGCCGCCCTGGCCGGCCTCCCTGCCCCAGCCCACGAGTCCCGCGCGCCCGGCCTCCCCTCCCCAAACCCTCGACTCCCCCGCGCTCCCGGCCCCCCTCCCCGGCCCTCGAGTCCCCCGGCGCCCTGTCCTGGTCGCCCGCGGGAAGGGCCGGGGTAGACATCCGCACCCACCTCCGTTTCCCCAGAAGACCCCCCTCGTCCGCCCGGGCTTGGGGCCGGAGGAGGGTGCCGCTGGGGAGGCCTGGCGCGCTGTGGTGCCCGTTCCGTGCCCAGCTGTGTCTCCCAGCCTGGCAACCCCCGACCCCTCCGGTCTCCACCACGTCTGAGAGAAGCCAGCTCCGAGAGTTATATAATTTCTAGTGCTGCTGTTTCTCTTTGCCTGAGGAAACACTTCCTCGCGTGGAGGGAGCAGGACGTTTCAGGGCTCTTCTAGATAAGGTTGGGGTGTGGGCAAGCGCAGAGAAATGCCTTTTCTGCAGGAGGAAGGTGGGTAGTTAGTTGGGAGAGAGACGGAGAGAAAAAGGTGGATGTGGACCCCACACAGTTGCACTACCGCTTGGGAAATCTCGGAGCGTTTGCCTAGCCTTGGCGTTGCATGCCTAACACTACTACAGCGTCTCTGAGAAAACACCTTCGGGCAAGGTTTGGTTTCTGATCTCCCACGGTCTCAGTGTGTTTGCTCGCCGACAGAAAGCTGCTTGGATGTGAAGAGATGGCAGTGATGTGAAGGACTCCAGTGTGAAGAAATCTGCTTCGCCAATTCATCCTGCATCAAGTGCCCACTGAGTAGCACTGTCCCTTTAATGTCTCCATGCCAAGGGATTGCTTTCCTTCTTTCCAATCCTCTCGGGTAATGCATGGGAGGATCAGAATCATAGGGGGGCATTAAGGATCAAGCCTTCGGGGCTTGGACAGAGCAGAAGAAAAATACGAAAGTGACAGCAAGCTGGATCCTGTTTCATTGAGGGGGTGAGAGCTGGACCTTCTGGTCTATTACATAGAAAGAGGCCTTTCAACCTGTATTCTGCCCCCTGAAAACTGTTCAAACTCATGCACCTTTCTGAAGATACCAGAGTCAAACATTTTTTAAAATATTTTTTGTGAAGGGGAGTGGGAGGAGTTCAACTTTTTTCTGTAAAACAAGGCTTTTTAGTCATCGACCAGTTCATATTTGGATTTGATAATGTATAAAGTAATGAGACAGCTGTCGAAATTTGGGTTGTGCCCAATTGAGTTGCTCATTGAACTTCCAAAAGTGTTGCTGTCTGAAGAGGAGTGTTAGTCCTGTTTTCTATGGTTATGATAACTCTCTCACCTTTTATAAAAATGGAAAACAAAGTTATATTTCTCTAAACTCTATGGGCAGTGTAAAAAGTTTAGCTATGGAAAAAATGCATCATTGTTTTCTTTATCTGAACTAGAAGACACAGCCCTGGGTATCAAAACTGAACAGTGTGCAACAGTTACCTGGCACTTGGTCTCAATCCAACTGCATCAAACAGAGACTTGAGAAAAGATATTGAATCCTGTGGCAGCGGAAACACCCAAGAATGCCAGTCAAGAAGAAAGGTGGGCTATGAGGTTCCTATGTAATGTATGGTTTTCTTTGGTTTTGTTATTTGTAACTTACATTGTATTCCTTTGGAGAGTGAAATATTTTTTCCCCTTGGGTGGAGGAAATGTGTTTTGTAATATCTTTTCAATAATATTTTGGTATAGTAAAATGAAATACTTAATTGTAGATATTTGAGACTTTACGAGACAGGCTGCCTATGTCACTATGTGTAATAGGGATAGATTCACTACTGTAGCTTTGGAATCTTTTACTTGTTTTCTTAGCTTGTTAAAGTTTAACAGGTCTAAACAGTCTTAAAAAAGAAACTTGTATGATGGACCTTCTTCCTATGGACTTAATATTTATTGGGCTAGTGGCATGACTACAAGAGACATCAAAGTACTTTTGTTTTCATCAGATAAAATTTATCATTTATATTTTGATAAAAAATTCATATTTGGGTTTAATTACCTAAGATTTATGTAAATCTTTAAGGATAGAGCAAAACTTTAGTCATTTCTGTTTTCTGAGATGCATGCATTATTCAATAACATGATTGGCAAGCTCTCCAAATGAGGCAAGTGCTTATTTTTTTCTTCCCTACATTAACTTTTATTACTTGGAATTGATAAAAAAAAATCTATTATATAGATCATACCTTAGGGCTTTAATGTAGCTGAGATATACCCAGGTTTGCTTTGTTGGAAAGAAGTGTAGTGAAATTAGATTTTGAAAATCTGATAATGAAGATGAGATTAATGATAGTTTCTGGAATCAAAATTTATAACATCCTTGAACTCTACTATTTTGCATTAATATAGATTCAAATGTCCATCCAGTTATGTGAATTCCTACAATATTAAAGTAAAGCCTAACTTAAAAGTGAAAAGCCTAACTTGTAGGTGAAAATTCAACACTTACACTTGTGGATTTAGAAGATGCATTGAGGAAAATTATAGTCACTGGGATGCTCTTATCCAAACTGCACAGATGGACAATAATATTGAATAAATTTGAAACTTCTAGCAATGTATTTTTTGCACAGTTAGGTTTAAGTTTGAGAATTGTTCCTTTCCTCACTATTTCCCATAATACTATCAAGAGAAGTAAACTTCCTTTGAGATTTTAGAGCCACACATGTCCAGATCTGACACAATTAGCTTATTGGGATGAATTTGGACTATAGCCAATAAATGTTTTCTTGATTTGTTTGGTTAATGTGTGTCTTTATCATTGTTACCATTTCTCTAGATAGTTCTTTGGATTACCTTATTAACTTGAAATAATAATTAAACATACTTGGAGGAAGGCAGGTGGGGGAAAGAGTGAGAAAGGTAAAAAGGAAAAGAGGAGAGAGAAAGGGAATATAAAGGTTGTGAGAAGGAAGAGGGGGAAGCACAATTGATATGTATGTATAACTTAACTAAGAGTGAACTTAAGAGAGAGTGAACTTAAGGGTTCTCAAACCAATTGGCTGCATTTAAAAAAATTTATCATGTTTAAGAGAACTGATAGAAATTGCTGAAAAATTATTGAAAATTAATACTTCATGAGAAAGTATTATAGAGATTTTAATCTCTTTCCTTCTCTTATTCTCCTTTCTCTTTCCCTTTCTTCTTTCTTAAGAATGGATTGACATAATAGATTAAAACATTAGAAGAAATCAGCAAATTCTACCTAGCAAAATGAGTATTTATTTACACTGTACTATTGTATATACATTATGTAGTTCATTTAGTAAACCAATTTAGGGAAATAATATATTTTATTTTTAATTTAAAAACTGTTAATATTAAGGTATGATATGTAAGTCAGGCCTAGAGAGACAAAGGTTGAATATTTTCTCTTATATGTAGAAGATAGAATTAGCTTACAAGCTAATAAGTAAATGTATTAGGTGGTATGCAATTGTATACACATGTATTAACTGAAATATGGTCAATTCAAGGAAGAACTCAAATAGTGTATTTCCTTAGACAAAGTCTGAATTCAACAAAAGAAACATTAGAAAGTAGATACTTGAAAGGAGTGGGGTGAGGTCACGTGGAAAGAGGTAGATAAATGAAAAGGAGAAGAGGGGGAGAATACTAAGAAAAATTCAATGCGTATCCTATAACATTAAGGAAAGTGAAGGAAGGGGCAGGTTGGGTGGGATGGGTGAGAATGTTGAAGGGTTAACATCGATCAAGATGTATTGTATTCATAAACTGTTTTGTTAAATGGCAACTTTTTTGCACAACTACTTCAAATTAATAAAAAGATATGAGTTTTGAGTATAGATAACTAGCCAAATATGTTTTTATGTATGCATTGTATCTTTTTAGTTGGCTAATCTTCACTGTTTCTTCAGTATAAGAAGACAAATATTTTAGAGTTTCGCTTAGGGTTATTTTGCAGGCTAGGACTGACTGCCTTCATTTTGAATCTTTCTGTCTTTATTGTCACATGAGGTAGTTACTGATGGAGCTAGTCTTAGTGTGATTTTAAGTAATGGTGATCTCCATGTGGCCAAGTATGTGTTCATTATTGAAAATGATCTTATCAATATATGATATATGCATATGACATAATTTAATTTTTTTATATTGTTGCCCACGTAAAGAGACCATTTTTTCCTTGACAACATACAGCCATGGTGGAGGATGGGAATGGGTGTAAAATATCATTGAGCCCATTTCTAGGTGCTATTCTTTTTTTCTTTTCTTTTCTGCTGGGTACTGGGGTTTGAACTCAGTGTTTTTTGAGCTTGGCTTGCTTGCTAGGCTGGTGCTGTAACAGTTGAACCATGCCTCCAGACTAATTTTTTTGCTGGTCATTTTGAAGATGGAGTATCTTGGGTTTTTCTGTCTGGGATGACTTTGAATCAAGATCCTTTGGCTCACAAGTCTCCTGGAGAGCCTGGATTATAAGCATGATCCACCAGTGCCAGCTGTAGGTCCTATTCTTGAGTCTCTTGGAGAAGCTGCCACTGATTTACTCAAGCTTGCTCTTTTACTTAATGACATTATTTTTCTTTTACCTGGTCTGTTCACATCTTTATAAATCTCAGTTTAATCAACAGATTCTTCCATTTTTCTCGAGAGAATTTTTCTCTGTAGTTTATTTTAAATGTGGGATTCTAATATTTATTAGAAGTAATTTGGTTTATTTCCAACTGAGCCCTTAGAATAATTTTTCACATATTTTTAACATGAACATTTAGTACTAATCGAAGATAGGTTATATTAGCATTCTTTGTTGTGTCACAAAATTGTAGTGGTGTCTGTAGTACCCCTGAATAAGCTTTCTTAAATTGAAGTAATAGGATTGATATGCTGAGCTAATGTAAGAAGAAAAAGTTATTGTAACTTGTATTTCTTCCCTGTGTTTTTAGCAGAAACTTGCTAATCTAAGAATAAAATATGCTTAATAGATTTTTTAGTAAAATAAAGTGTCCTTTTGAATAGGTTCTTTATTTCCCTTATTGTTATTAAATATGTGAAAGAAGACATTGCTTCTAATGCTTTGAGACATGCTTATTTCATTTCTGTGTTTTTGGAAAATATTTCCATTATTTTCTAAGCGTCTTTAAAACTTGTATAGAATTCTGATATTTTTCACTTATATGACTCCTTTCCTTTGAATGCTTTTTTTCTTTTTGCAGCTGTTTTCAGTGATTAATAGAGCAAGCATAAGCAGATTTTTATCTGGTCCTGAAAGCTAAATACTATTATTTATTTTTATTTTTTTATTTGTTTTTGGGTCCGGTCGTGGGGCCTGAACTCTGGGTCTGAGCACTGTCCCTCAGCTCTTCAGTTAAGGCTAGCGCTCTACCACTTGAGCCACAGTGCCACTTCCGGCTTTTTCTTTTTGCTTATGTGGTGCTGAGGAATCGAACCCAGGGCCTCAGGCATGCAAGGCAAGCGCTCTACCACTGAGCTACCTTCCCAGCCCTAAATACTATTATTTTATATTCACATATTTTAACACTATATCTTTCAAAAGGAAGCTGGAAAATTCTATATATTTAGATTTTTTTTTGATGTCACGGGGTATTTAAACTGAAGACCTTGCACTTGGTAGGGAGGTGCTCTACCCAACTTTTTATTTTGTTTTATTAGCTATTGTTAGGTTGGGCTCAGCTTTTTGGACAGGCTGACATTAACCTGTGATTCTTTTACCTCTGCCTTCCACTGGGATTACACTTTGTACTACTACACACCTGGCTTGTTTGTTGAGATGTAGTCATGCTAAGTTTTTTTTTTGAACTGTGATTCTTCTACATATATCTCCTGCTTATAGGTAAGTATACATCACCATGCCTAGCACTTGTATATTTATTATAGTAAAACAGTACTGTTATATATTTTATGACCATCCTTGAAATCATGCTTGTTTCCTAGACTCACCATGTTTTTTTACCTCTTTCCTTTTGATTGGCTGTATATTTCATGAAAGTATAATTTCTGTTATAATTATGTTATTTTTTCCTCTCTGGGAAAGGGACATTAGAATTATTATTCTTTTTTTGGGGGGGGTCCGGTCGTGGGACCTGAACTCTGGGCCTGGGCGCTGTCCCTCAGCTCTTCAGCTCAAGGCTAGCGCTCTACCACTTGAGCCACAGCGCCACTTCCGGCTTTTTTTTTCTGCTTATGTGGTGCTGAGGAATTGAACCCAGGGCCTCATGCATGTGAGGCAAGCACTCTACCACTGAGCCAACTTCCCAGCCTAGAATTATTATTCTTATTTTTTCTTATTTTAAATTTCTTCATTATTTGATTCCAGCTGTTTGTGGGTTAACTTTTTTTAGTAGTATATCACTAATTCACATTTGATACTTATCTGTGTATACTTTGTATCTCTAGCTCTTCCTCCTCCTCCTCCTCCTCCTCCTCCTCCTCCTCCCCCCCCCCCTTCTTTGCTGGTACTGAGATTTAGACTCAGGACATCACACTTGCTAGGTGCTCTACCACTTGAGTCATGCCCCTAGACCTTTCCCCCACTATTTTAGAATAGGATCTTGTCTTGTCTTTTT